AAGGGCAACACTCACACTAGCGGATGCACTTGCAAATATTTTTGTGTATAAGTACATACATATGTACATATACTGGTATGTATGCATAAATGTGTATTTTACATATACACATATGTTTTACTTCTTGGCTCCGCTAATGAAAAAAGTTAAAACAGTTGCAACACTCACCTGCGCCTCGATGTGTGAATTTACATTAAACTTGTTGCAAGTGCAGTAAACACATGGATATTAGAATAAAACGGCAAAGGAGTATGTACGAGTACATATGTTTGGAAAGTGATTGTTTACACATCTTTAATATTAGTACTAGGTGACAGCTGGTAATGATTTTTATGCAAGATTTGGCGATTTAACAATTTATATAATAATGACTGCAGTGGCTCAATTAAGTAATACAATAAAAGGTATATTTTTAATACAAAAGAATGTAGTAATTTAATTCAATTTTCCTTTAAGCAAAATTTGTGAAATAAAATACTTTAAATTTTTGTATTTCTCATCGAGTAACCACAGCAGGTCATTGTATTTTTTTTTTTTTTTTTGTGTTTCACTGCTTTAATATGTTTACTCTTCATATATTTGTAAAGCATATCACATATGCATACATATCCGGAACACCTTTGTTAATTTCATTTGCATAATTGTATGAGCAATATTTTACTTTTCCCGGTAAAATTTGCTTTTGCTTTAATTAACTCAATTTTAAATTTTTACCAACAGAAAAAATGTATTTATATATTTATTCTCATAGTCCTTTTTGAAATTACACTGCAATTCAGCGACTTGAACCAATTGCGGCAACCAACATACATCAGGCCATTTTACGCTTCTGTAATTAATTAAATTACTTCAAGCTCATTCACACTGCTGTTTATGTATATCACGTATATATATCCTATATATATAAATATTCTTTTGTATATTCATCAATGTATTTATTATTTTCATTTTTAGTAAATAAGGCTCACGGCCACCTCCTGGAATACGCAAAATGTGACTTTTAAAAGGTCTTTTAGTTATTTTGCATTTGTGAAAAGGCTGCACATCCCTCATAATCTCTTATTGGGTTTTGTTGTATGGCAAAATTTTACGGTAACTAAGCATTTTAGTTTTGATATTGGTAGATCCTTTAGATAAAAATTTTAGGGTCTTATGTTTTAAAAGACGTATTCAGGAAAACACAAACATCATGGAAATTGACCTTTCTTAGTATTAAATACTGCTAATAATTGACACGTACCCATTTTTACGGCTTGCAAGAGTCCGATACACCAACGTTTGTGAAAAGAAACAAAAATTTAAGAAAAGTCGTTGGACAAACAAACAAAGGGGTTAAGTTTTTTTAATATTTATTAATTTATTTCATCTAATTTTTTGTTTTATTTTAACTAAATTTTTTTATTTTTTTTAATATTTTTTTATTGGATTTTATTTTATTTCGTTTTGTATTTATATCAATTTATTTACATTCATTTTTTATTTTATTTTTATTAATTTTTTTTTATTTCATTTTATTTTATTAAATTTTAATTAATTTTTTTTTAATATCCTTTCATTTTAGTTTATGTTAGTTTATTACATTTATTTTAATTTTGCTTTAGACTATTTATTAATTTTATTTTATTTTACTTATTTAATGTTATTTAATTTTATTTTACATTATTTATTTTAATTTGTTTAATTTATTTTAATTTTGTAAATTTTATTTTAATTTATTAATTTTTTTATTTTATTTTGTTTTTTTTTTTATTTTAAATTAATTTAAATTTTTTATTTTATGTTATTTCATTTTAATTTTGTTTTATTTTATTTTTATTTAATTTTTTTCATTTTCTAATTTTTTTATTTTACTTTACTTTATTTTATATAATTTTTTTTCATTTTATTTTAATTTAAATTTTTTATTTTATTTTAATTTAAACTTTTTATTTTATTTTATTTTATTTTATTTTATTTTATTTTATTTTATTTTATTTTATTTTATTTTATTTTATTTTATTTTATTTTATTTTATATTTTTAAGTTATTTAATTTATTTTATTTAGTTATATTTCATGTTATATTTTTTATTTTATTTTTATTTTAATGTCCTTAATTTTATTTAATTTTTTTTTTATATATATTATTTTGATTTGTTTATTTTATTTTACATTAATCTCATTAATTTTAATTTAATTAAAATTTAATTTATTATTTTACTTTATTTCGTTTTATTCTCTTTTATTTTAATTTTAGTGAAAACTGTTTTTATTGCAACCTTCCCGAACACAAAATTGTTTCTTTTCAACAGATTTTGAGAGAAATTTTAATTAAAACCAATTTTAATCAGTATTATTAGTTTGCAGGAAATTTCACAGTTTTTCCTCATGTGTGCCATTCTGTTGTCGTTCATTAATATTTTTAATGCAAACCAAAAATATTATGATAAATCATTTCAACATTTTATGAACGTCACTCAAAGTCATTAAGGGATTTTGCTTGTGCAAGAAAGGCTGTGGCATTGTATGAAAAGCAGGTTCTGCCGCATGGTTGAAAATAACGCTGTCGCTGCTAAGTGTGCATGAAGATGCCGATGTCAAGTGAGCTGCAAACACGTGTGGCATGCAAAGAGGCGGCGGCGGTGGTGAACTTTATGTTACTTTTTATTTTCAACTTACATTACATTCATACACAAGGTGGTTTATATGCTCATACAAAGTACACAAGTGTAGCTGTCGGTGGCACTTGTACTGAACATGTAGGTGTTTCGTAGTTTATGATTTGAATTTATGAAGCGAGGAAAACAAGAATTTCTTGCTACGCGACAATGAAGGTGAAAATTTGAAAAGAAAACCTAATGAACTAATAAAAAAAATTCTTTCGAGGTTACAAACTTCAATTATAATATATTTCAAACTAAGCAGACGCTTAGGCATATTTATGTGCTTACATTGAAAATGCATGTAATATTTTTAGGAAATAATTCCATATTTGATGTTCCGATTTGGGTAAATTCCTTCGACTTTACATCAGCGACAGACCAGGCAATGTGTGGGTGAATTTTTTGTGGAATTTTATTTTTTCTCACCATACACTATCAGACAAACTTTAAATTTTCGTTGTCTGCTGACATCTTTCGGCAAAACAGCCACAGCTGTTCAATCTATATTTATGATTTATTAATGGCAATACTCGAGATACTCGTAAGCTTAATTACATGATTCTACAACTAGAACAATTTAAGTAAAACACAATTTACCGTCAGAACACACAAAAATTAGATTATGTTTATTAGTTAGAAGTAATAAATAAATGATATAATATTAGAAAATAACATCATTTCAAATAGAAAATAGATAAGTTAAATAAAATAAAATTAAACTAAAATAAAATAATTTAAATTAAATAAAAAAAATTTATCAAACTGAAATAAGTGAATAAAAATAAAATATAATAAAATAAAATAAAATGAATAAATCAAAAAAAGGTAAACTAAAATATGTAATGTAAAATATAGTAATATGAAATGAGATCAAACTAAATAAAGTACATTAAAATAAAAAAACGAATTGAAATAAATTTAAAAAAATATTTAATAAATTAAAACAAAATAATATATAATAAGATAGAGTAAGATAAAATTAAATAAAATAAAATAAAATGAAATAAAATAAAATAAAATAAACTGAAATGAAATAAATTAAGATAAAACAAAATAAAATAAAATAAAATAAAATAAAATAAAATAAAATAAAATAAAATAAAATAAAATAAAATAAAATAAAATAATATAAAATAAAATAAAACAAAATAAAATAAAATAAAATAAAATAAAATATAATAAGTTAAAGTAATATAAAATATAATGAAGTAAAACTAAATTATAACTAAATAAATAAAATTAAATGAAATAAAATAAAAAGATATAAAATTAATTGAGAAAATTAGAATCAAATAATCATAATAATAACAAACAATCAAAAATCAAATTAAATTAAATAAAAATAAAAAAAATTAAATAAGATGATATTAAGTTAAATTAAATAAGAACAATTAAATTAAAATGAAATAAAATCTAATTAAATGAAATAATTTAACATACAATAAAATAAAAATGATAACTTAAAAGGAAACGATTTGAAATGAAAAAGAAATGTATGTAAAATATGTTCAAATTAACACAACCAAGCATAAAATAAATAAAATAAAATGATATAGCTTGAAACAAGTTTAAAATTGTGAACTCAATCCAAGTAAAGTAAAATCATATATTTCTTACAAATTTCAAACAACTTCATGTTACCCTACATGCAAACTTCATAGTTTCTATAGAGTTTCAGTAAAACGAGCAACAATTTCTAAAACTTTATAAGAAATTATGGAACTTTTAGAACTTATTGAAATAAATTTTGAAAACAAGTTTTCTATTAAACCAAATTTTTGTTAAGTCTTTCATATATTTTTTTGACAGTCAACATTGTTTACACTTTTGGTACATAAAATGCGTATAACTTCTGCGTTGCAGCAATGTCTCTTACAAGGGTCAAATGCAGGTGAATAATAATTCCAAAATCCATAAAGACTAAAATTTCACTAAGTCCTGCCCATATTCCAGCAGGCACATAAAGTAATGCAACTTTTTTATATAAGCATTTACTAAGAATGGGCGGCGCACAATGGTGTAAAATGTGTGGATTTCGAAGATCAATTCAAACATTTCAAGATACAAGAAAATTTTTGGTACCAATGTGATTCCATTTGTTTGTTACGTCTCTGTAAGAACTTTTTTCTATTTTTCGCTTTAAATGCAGGAAAACATTTCGTTGAATGTTATATTTGGTATGAAATGCCTCGAAACAAAGATCTTATGGCTTTGGAGAACATTTTTCCTTCAAATTCAAGCAAATGAAAACATATTCCAAACAGCCCCTTAATTTTTTCTGACCACGTTATATCTACCAAAAGAAAATTACCACAAAGCAGTGCAGTACTTACCGGAAGAAGCCTTGGAGATGATCGTGATGGGAAGAGGCAGTAATAATGAAGGTTATGTTGATGATGAAGGCGATGACGGCAATACAAGTGAATAAGATTATGGTCATGAATATGATTGTGGTGGTGAAGAAGCCGTTTATATAATTTAAATAAAATGTTTACCTTAAAACAATAAAAATTGTTGAAAACCGATGTTCGCCATATAAATAATTTTTAATTGGCGCTTTGTAACCGGTGAAGCTATTTTCCAGCCGAGCTCCTGCTCAATATTTGAAGTTTTGCGTCTTAATGCTTCTTTCCAAAAAATGGAGGAACCTACAGTTTAAACTAAGCCGCCTCCGAACGGCTGATGGTTTTTACGAGAAGCCTTTATTTCATGTCCGAAATACACTCGGCCGTGTGGACATTCCCTGCCTAGGGGCGACCGCAATTAGAAAATTTAACTTCATTTTTTATTAAAATTAATTTTCCATTACCTTTGAATTTTGTTAGCTCCATGATATGAATCCATACTTCCGAACGTCAGTGCGGTATGCTAATGATTTAAAAAAAAAAAATCTTTCAAATAAATCTAACTGCATGCTTTTTTACTTCTTTATGATTAATGAACTAAAAAAAATTAACTCTTCCGTAGCTGGAAAACCAGTGCATATTTATCTCCATTTTGAGCACCATTTACACCACTGTGCGGTGTTACGGTGCCTACATATCTACTCACTTCTAGGTTTTTGTGCATTCCCCGAACTACAGAATCTTGCCATTTTCTTGAGCTATTTTCGTAATATTTTAATAAACACTACCATAGAAACTTTTAGCTTCCACAATTTGAATATCCACGTTGAACTCCAGCATCGCATGCAAAATATGACTTGCGGTAAGTCGCACCACATACCGCGGACCCACTTTTTCACTCGTCCGTGTGGGCACCTGTACCCAATCCCACTCCACACCGCCATTTGGTATGTTTACAGCGCAATATTAGTAGCTCACACACGTGCGTCTACTTATCTACTGATTATGCGTGCCGGCAGCTAACGCTCCGTCCTCCTCCCGTACCGAAGTTCCACTGTTCCAGCTCTTGAGGTCTGCACGTAGCTGCTTTTGCTAGTTTTCTGGCCTTTGTGCGTGCGTGCGTGTCTGCTTTTGTTTATGCTTTTGGTTGGCTATGACATTCAAACAACAAATAGCAGAGAACCCTTTTCGTACAGCCCGTCTCTTTCATAGGAACGGCTCCTCTAGTCACTGCCTTCCCAGATTTTACGGCTCCTCTTAACTTTCGGGTCGCCTATTCATAATTTCGTAGCTTTGCTTTGTTAGCATCACCCCGCATCATGCCTAGGTATTATGTACGTATGGAGGTATGTGGGGCTAGGTGTGTAGGAGTAATAAGATTTATGGCGCATTATTTGCAAGATAAATGTAAGTGTGTTTGTAGGCTCTCATGTAATTATGACAGGTGGTGGCGGTAGTCTGCAAACAATGTCAACACAAAAGCCTTTTCATTTAATTATTAATAAGCAAAGTGTGAAAGTTCTACCTTAACTCCATGTTCATACATATTTTTGGCTTTCAATATTATTTGAGGTTATATTTATGAAAATACTTTGGGAATACTTGTCTTGTGGTGGTTCTGGCTTACGGTTTTTTAACAAAAAGTCAAAGGGATGAATTACGAAAAAACGAAACAAAATATTTCATATCAAGCTGATACTTGAAATTCCTGTGAGGATCACAGGGATTAGTTTTACTAACCACATGCCCAAATTTTGTGGTATATTTAGCAGATTAGATGCGCGCAGCATCTTCTCCCTTTCACAGGACGTTAAATAGCGTTGTCTTTACCGATTCGCCTTTTGTGTAAGTGTGCTGCACTTCAGAGAGCAAACTCTCATCTGCAGTTTGCTCGTTGTGAACAGCTATCAAGCGCTCCAATGTTTTTAAGAGTAATGATTCTAAACTGATTGTTCAAAAGTCCTAGGAGTGTCGAGGTCATGTTTTACTTTCTGTGGTCAGAAACGCTACTTTTACTATTGGCTTTAAAAACTCCTACTCCTCCTTAAATCTACACCTGGGTTCTGAACACACTGAAGTTCTGAAAATATCTCTTTCATTCGCCATATTGACTGGTAACTGGCGAATGATGCGTGTGTTGTTTGGTTGCAAGGCCTGCATTGAAGCGGAATTGTCCGTATAGACCTTAGTCTGACAGTGTAAAACCATACGATCTTGGTGGCCAATCGACCGACCCAAAAAGTTATATTATCTGCTCGCCGAAGTGTTCTCTTAATAAATCCATTGATTGGTGCGCCCGTCTTGTTGAAACCGAACGTCGGCGAGATTACGAGCTTCAATCTCAAGCATCAAATAGTCGGTATATCACGCCGCTATAACGGTCGCCTCTGACGATTACATCCGCACCGCCATCATTTTTGAAGAAATACGGGCCGATAACTCCACTGGCCCAGAAACCACGCCAAACAGTTGTTTTTCAGAATAAAAGGGCTTAGAATTTTCTCTTACTAGCAGCGAGTGTAGTACACATGACGCCTTACATTTCCAGGAAATAAATATATCTGTTAACAAAAGAATGTGGGCCCAAATAATCGGTTACAAACAAAATGACATAAATTTTAGATTAAAATTAAAATAAATATATTTTTAATATAAACTAAATCTCAGCATGATTTTGTCAGTACAACTCTGATTCTTCAGTTTATTAGAACGAAAACATCGGGCGTCGGCTTATCTCGCTTTTCGTCTAATATTCGGTGGAAGTCTGATGGCTGATGACTCGAGTCTAAGGCGTAATTGTAATTGGGATGTACGAATAAGTGTGGTGAGAAACGTCGTGAAAACGAGGAAATGAAACTTTGCTTCAAATTTCGAACTTAAAGGCACAATCATCTGAAGTAAGGTGAAAGTTTATTTAATATCATTGACTTTTTTTTATCAACCTAACTAACATATAAAAATTAAGTCCAGCAAGGAAAAATCATTGCCTACAACCTATATGGAAGCCGCGACGGGCAGTTTACTGAGTGGTGCATATGAAATTCATTTAGAATAATTTAATGCCACGCTGTTTGAGGTGTTTTGTTATGAAGAAACAGACTCTGGTGGCGTCTAAGTGATTCGGTTGATTTTTATAGAGGTTGGCGGGCGTGTAAGAACGGTTTCGATTAAACAGGAAAATATTGGATTGGTTTAGCAAAACTGCATACTGAATTTGAAAGATTTAACGGTACAAAACTACATGCGAAATATACAGAGTTTGTTATTGGAAGCAAATCAAAGGGTTATGCGCTGAAAAAGTTGGGTAACTACACTTGGAATACAGGCGATGGCTTCAAATACCATATTAATAGAAAATTTTCTACCTACGAAATTTTCAATTGTGCAAAGACTTTCAAAGGTGCTTGGTGGTTTTCAAAGATTTTATGAATTTCAAGTACTTTTGCTGTTAATTTAAATTTTTATGAGAATTTGAAACCTATTTAAAGTCATCTAATTGAAGAATATGGAAAAAAAGCTGCGGGAATTATCTGGGCTACCATAGATAAGGAAAAAAAAAATTGAAAATCCTTCAAATGATGATCCGCCCAACCGTAAAGCGCTTCAGTTGTATATCTTTTGGAAAGTGATATTTTTGTCTTTGAATACTTTGGATAATAAATATATGTTAACGAAAATGTACATATTTAAATTATTTAAAATTATTGTCATACGTATTTCTATGCCATCTTCGCATATCTCTGGAAAATTTCCATCAATTTGGCGCTTAAGAGATGTATAATTTTTCATATTTATAATAAATGTAGTATTTTTAGAAATTTATTACGTATTATTAGCCTAAATAAACTAACCACAGCATATATATTTATATGTTTATGGATGTATGTATGTTGGCAATTTTATAGAAGAATTTATGTCATTGAGTAAATATTAATAAAGCTTGAGAAAAGTGGCTAATAGAAAAATTTATGAAAATATATTTATTATAAAAGATAAAAGGCAAAATGTACACGCATACGCATACACACATATACATATGTACATAGTCAAAAACACGTCCGTTTCAGTCGCTTTTGTTAGTAATTTATTAGCGGAATGCACGATAGACCATCACTAAACCAAACAAATGTCCACAAATGCCCCTCCTTTCCCTCGCCCCCAAACACAAACACATACACACACACGCTCTTGCGTAAATGTCTGGTTCATGGTAAAAAATGTAAAACAAGCAGAGACAGCAAAACAAACAAGCAGCGCTTAAGCGACATGGCGTGTGTTATTACTTAAGACTATTGTCCACGCATTTATAACCCACACACACACATACACAAAATCACGGACTTTGAAATATCACTCTACGTACATATGTATGTATATAGTTGGAAGCTGCGCTGTTTAGATATTTCATAACCGTAAATAAATATGCCCTAAAAACAAATTGCTCAAGCATAAGAAAGGAATTTATTAACGCATATTAGCATTTAACATACACACATTCAAACACATGCATATACTACATATACGTACATACGTATGAGTACGTATACTGTATATGTTGTGTAGGAAAAGTTACTAGTTGTTAATTAGTATGCCACCAGTTCGTATTTACATAGTAACTAGTTCGCTTTCGTGTATGCTACTGATTAAATGGCTCTTTTCATACTTTGCATCAGCTTCAAACTAGTTAAATACCAGTTCTCCTCCATCTAAATCACAGAAATACAACTAAATTTTACTATAGACATTTCGTCGCCCCAAAGGAAACCGGCGATTTTTCGTAAAGACGGCGGTGACAGTTTTCTTCAATACACTGTGACAGTTTGATTAAATTTTTTGTTTGTTTTGGTAGTTCTAAGCTAACACTTTTAGCTTGCTTTAGAAAAAAAGTACGCGTAATTTGGTTAATATTTGTTTGTTTATCGTCAGCCCACAAAGGAATATTTTTGCCATATTTAACTTTATGATTTCTTTAAAGGAAAAAAAGCAGCACAGATTGCTAAAAAGTTGCATAAATCGTATGGGATAAAGCCTTAATCGATACACAGCGTCAAAGTTGGTTTCTCAAAGATTTTAATCTCAAAAATATGCCACGTTCGGGTCGGCTAAGTGAAGTTGATGATGACGATATCATATAAAAAAATAAACAGAATTGGACCTTCGTGAAACTGAGCGTGAGTTCGGACAGAAGTTAATTATTCCAAAATCAACCATTCATAGACACATCCGACGTCTTTTAGTGGTAAAAAAATCGTTATTTGGCTAACACATGAATTGAAAGAAATTCATTTAACAAGCCGCTTCAACGCTTGTGATAAGCGACTTAAACGCACTGAATATGATTCGTTCTTCAAGCAAATCATAACTAGAAATAAAACATAGATTGCTTGCAATAACCTCAATCGAAGACGAACATGGTCCAAACAAGATGAAGCGCCACGAACCACTTAAGAGGCTGATGTTCACTAAACGAATATTATGCCGTCAGTCAGATTGGCAGGGTCTTCTGAGCTTTTTCCAAGGAACCCAATGATTAATTTGGATATCTACAGTGAACAACTGGACAAGTTGAATACATCCATCAACGAGAAGCGACAAGAATTGGTCAATCGTAAAAGTGTCCTGCTCCACCAGAACAATGCTAGACCGCGTGGCTAAGAACTGTAGCCCCGACCTTTCACCATCAGACTATCATGTGTTTCGATCTTTGAAGAATTCAATAGATGGTAGTACTTTCGAAAATGACGAGGCTATAAATTCGCACTTGGTTAAGTTTTTATCAGATGATCGTGGAGTAATGGTGTTGCCGGAAAGATGGCGAAAGGTCAGCCAACAAAAAGGAAATTATGTAATTGATTAAAGTTCATTATAAAACTTAAAAGAAAATGTATTTACATTATTTTCACCTTTCAAGTACTAGTATTGAACAAGAAGTTTTGCACACTAGTTCGACATTTCACTGCACAGTGGTGCGCTTACACGAAAGTGACTATTCTTAAAGCGGCGCTGGTAAAAGTTCTGCTTCGTTGTAAGTGGACTATCTAACGAACTTACTTTAAGTTTCAAACACACGCATACTTTGGAAAGTAGTATACACATACATATATACAATACAAACACGTATACTGTGTATGTATATAAAACAGATATTTCTTCCCTCTCTTAAATGAATTTACCGTTATGTTATAAGCATAGTAAACTTAAGTACTTGCGAGCATTTTGATAAATCTAATTTATGGCATATAAACATGTTCATGTATTTGCTCGATTAGTTGAGATAGTGTATGGTATTTGTATGTACAAACATTAAGACCAGAAAGTTTTCGGATAACGTTTTTTTTTCGATATTCACGGTTTGGCTCATCATGAATTCGTTTCAACGGGACAAAGGGTCAATAAAGAGTATTATTTAAGCGTTTTGAGGCGTTTGCGCGAAACGACCGGAATTGTGGCCAACAATTTCCGGAAACTTTCATGACGATAATGCGCAATCCCACCGAGCTGTAGTTGTAAATGATTTTATGATCAATAACTTCCATGAACCACTGTATTCACCGGATTTGGCCTCAAGCGACTTTCTTTGTTTCTAAAACTCAAGTTACCACTCCGTGGAGCCCGTTTCGAGTAGATTGAGGCCGTAAAAGAAAATTTTGCAGAGGGAACTGTGGGTGCCTGATTTCAACAGCTGCTGTAAAGAATTGGTCCTGGTACTGTTAAAATCAATCGATTTCATTCTGGTAATTTTGATGCCAAAGATTCTGAAGAGAGAAAAAGTCCAATTGTCGAAAATGTCATTAAAATCATGGACTTTCTCAAGGCCGACCGCCATGTAAGCACTTTTCGATTGCGAAAGAGCTATAAATTGCACAAAATATAGTTTGGAACCATTTAATTAAGGCTGGCTTAGAAAAGTGAAAAATCAAAGCCTCCAATTTCATGTCAAAATAATGGTTTTCTTTTTACTATACCAATTTGAGGAAAAAGCGATTCTGATAGGAGCAAAAATGCCATAGGAATTATGCATGGATTAATAAGCTGAAAATATCTGATCAAGAAAGTCTGGAGGAAAATTTGGTTTTGCTTGCTGTTATATGAAAAGCGAATGCAAATTCCTGAAGGTTTCAAAACTAGAGCCAGTCAGTGCGGGATCTGAAGAAGCGGTGATATGCAGAGTACACAAAGTTTATAGAAGGAAGTCTACAGAATCGAAATAGAAGTGATGCACAAGGATATTGCGAACCCGAATCACCAGTAAATGAAGATAAAGAGTCGTTTCACTATCCGACCGTGATAAAGTCCAACTAACCAATCCGGAAAATAATAAAGTGGTGAGAGCCAATGGCTTATCGGTCTATTTATTTGAATTTAGCTGGGAAGAGCTAACAGAAAAATGCATCAGCTTCTTTATAGAGTTTAAAATATATCAGACGATTGGAACCTAAGTGAGCTTGGAATTATGCACAACAAGAGCAGCTCAGTGTTTGCGCCAATTATTGTGATATAAGCCTGCTCCATACCGCATAAAGTCGTAACGAGTGTACTTCACAAAAGACTAAAGCCCATTGCCAGCCTAAACAATAACCTGCCTCATTTTCAACATATAAATTTTTATTTAATTAAAAACCTTGCACGCGGTTTAATTTTGCTCCTCTCTCCAGACAATAACTCTCACTTGCATTGTAGTTCTCCACTGGCACGTGCTGCATCAACTCACTAATTACCAATAGCTTATGCTAATAAACAGATATACAGGCTTTTGAAAAAAAGCAAAATAAATAACGGTTATGCAAGCAATGTCAGAAATGTGGGTGGAAAAAATTATAGCAAACAGAAAAAAATGCAAATAAAGTCAATGTAGTAAGATGAGAGAGCACTACAGAATACACAACAACAGGCGCCAAGAGAAGTAGAAGAAAATGAAGAAGAAGCAGAAAAAACAAGCATAGCATACTTCACAACACATCAAACGTCCGGTCAACAAGATTAATTTCCGGAGCACCGGTTCGAGCAAACAATTCGTTAGCATTAGCGTGGAGGGGGAGTGAGGGCGAGATAGAGGTTGAGAGGCAACAGCAACAGTGTTTGTACCATTGAAAATAATAACACGGCGTCCAGTTGTTGTTGCTGCGTAGCTGATGAAGCTCTTCAAGAATGTACACTCAGTGTTAGTGAAGAGGCTCTAGGGAGACGCCCAAGTCGAGTAATTGGTTATTTAAGTAGTGTGAGCTGTGCCACAAGCTGGTACTCAGACTGTCTATATGTACATTGATGTTTGTAATTGTATTTGTATTTATAATTTTAATTCATTCACTTTTGCTTTATTTGATGATAAAAATGAGCTGCGTGAATTTAAACTTTTTTTTTATATATTTATTATTTTTTTATTTGCATTTAAATCATCAAGTGTTTTTGCTACTAATTTTTACCCCACT